TGAATTTAATCTCTTAGAGTCCTAAGAAATTTGACTTTAAATTGTGCCCTTAAACATCAGAATTCTGAAAATAAAATCAGAATTAAATGGCTTTTTTTTTTACCCTAAAGTGGAGCATCTGGTGACAGGACAACTTTTAGCTCTCCACTCCACAAATTTGGCATTTACGGCATGTAAAAGCTGAAGGAAGAAATAAAAACTAAATAATCATGAAGAAGAACTGGCCTGAGCTACACACAGCTCAACGTTGTTTATAAAGTCCTTTAAAACAACCACAGCTGCCACAAAGTGCTGTTCATGTCGGGTACAGTGTTGGGCACGTTACTTTGAAAAAGTAATTAGTTATAGTTACTAGTTACTTCTCCCAAAAAGTAACTGAGTTACTAACTGAGTTACTCCACAATAAAAGTAACTAGTTACTAGTAAAAGTAACTATTGCGTTACTTTTGCGTTTCTCGCCCCCGTAACCCTCACCACCCGGCCCCCACCTTCTCGCCGTGTGTTTCCAAAGCCAGCTGAATAGAGCGGACGACAAAGACAAAAACCTGCAGAGAGTTTTGCATTTATTGCAACTCAACGTAATTGACATCGAGGGGGAATGCGATGTGAAGTTTTTTAACAGGGCATTCAGATCTGGTGAAATTAACAACAGGGGATGTCTAATTCTGAAATCCTGTGTGTTTGGGTTGTTATAGATACTGCAACATCTATCTATCTATCTATCTATCTAGATGTATACTCTGTGTGTGACATAAAATATGGATCTCCATCCCTGCCACAAAGGCCATCAAATAATGTTTAAAATAAAAAATACAGTAGGTTGAAAAGGCAGAGTATCCATCCATCCATCCATCCATCCATCCATCCATCCATCCATCCATCCATCCATCCATCCATCCATCCATCCATCCATCCATCCATCCATCCATCCATCCATCCATCCAGATTTCTCCCTTTCATTTGATCGTTCACGCTCTCCATAGTTCTCCTGTGGCGCGAGCACAGGGCGACTGTTGCGCGCCTTTAGCGAGCATGCGCGTTTCCGGTCTCTTGCGCTGTGAATTGTGCCGCCTGCGCTGTGCGGAGATGCAGAGGAAACCGTATCTGATGGGGAAACGCAGCTCGAAGTAACACCGGTATTTCCATCAGGAAAAGGCTGTTTTGCTGCTTGAGTCCTCCTCACTCTCCATCTCTCTGTGTGTGCTGTACGTTAACACCCACCAACAGAAACACCCACCTACCCAACTGACAGACGGAATCTCACTATACATCAGCCATTCTCATCCTCCCCTCTCTCATGACAAGGCGCGCACCTCTGGATGACCTAAACAAAAGTCTATCTTAAACAAAAGTAGCACAAACAATATTTTTTTCTGCACAGATCTGCACTAACGTTGCACTAACCATTCAGTCTATTTGCAGAGTTTTTTGACGTGGGTGGGGTGTCAGCTTCACGCAGCTGCGCACGAGTCCTATCATGAAAAAAAGGTTGATTGTGCGACCTGAGTAACGCGCAGTAACGGGGTGTCTGCAATGGTAACTGCGTTATAGTTACAGTCAACGGAATTAGTTTGATTAATCGTTACTAAAACAAGGTAACGCCGTTACTTTCAACGCCGTTAGTCCCATCACTGGTCGGGTAAAGTTAGAATTGTATAAAAACAACTCAGATGTTAAAAGTAATAAAACCAATATAATAAAATGAATTTATTAAAACAAAAAAGACAAAAACAGAGAGTCTCCTGCTGTAATAAAAGAAAAAGAATAAAAATAGGTTTTAAGACTAGTTTTAAAAATAGACAGTGAAGGGGACTGTTGAACGAGGATGCTGGTGAAGACTTTCAGCCATCCAGTTCTAAAGTCATTAGTCATTCCAAAAAAGTTCAAAACAATCCACTGGATCTAGTTTCCACGTTTGAAGACATTTCTCTTCCATCCAGGAAGCTTTTTCAATTTAAAATGTCAGAAATAGCGTTTAGTTCAAGCTTTATAGGGTGGACCAAAAACTTGTCTTGGCTTAGAATGGCAAATTCTAAACCAATGCAAACTGAAGCAGAAGAACGGGTCTGCCCCTTAGGAATGGGGGTCATTTTGGGTGCTTTGTTAGCCTGCAATACCTGATACCTGTCTATGTCTCTGAAAGGGGGGTCGTTAGGGGCAATTGTTGGTTGGGCTGCCCAGATGATGTTTTGTCCCCTGCATGGGGGTTGAAATATTAGCGGGAAGGAATCAACTGTGTTGTAGGTTTTTGAGAGCTGGAATCTGAGGCCCCCCCCCCCCCCCCCCCTCTGTTTAAGATTGTTTTTTCTTTTTTAATATAAATGGCCGTCTTCAATCCTCCCTCATGAGGAGCAACAACTGATAAAGTTGTGTCTCCTCTGAGCTGCCTTACCTCCAGGAGCAGCAGGTCAGCTGACCTGAAGCACAGATTGGGAGCATAGGGGTGAAGAAGCTCAGAAAGGTAGGGAGGGGCTGATTCATTTAAAGCCTTAAAAGAATCTTAAAATGAACTCTAAAATGCACAGACAGCCAATGGAGCGAGGCCAGGATGGAAGTAATCTGCTTCCTCTGATGCACTGTGTCCTCTGTTAAAAGGCCGCATTTTGTACTAACTGGAGACATGCAAGGGAGGGGAGGCTCACCCCAGAATAAAGTGCGTTACAGTAATCCAGCTAAGATGTAACAAAGACATGGATTAAAGCTTCTAAGTGATGCCGTGCAAGAAGAGGTTTAATCTTGGAAAAATGTCTGATAAAAGCTGGACTTTACTGTAGAGACAGAGAAAAATGTTCATCTTGCCGTCTAAATCAGAAACAGAAAGGTTCTGCAGATCTGGCATGCATTTTAGAACACTGGTTACTTGTTGGAGTAAAAAGTGAAGATGTCTGTAATCTGTAAGAGGGGACAAGTGACTCATGTGGACGGATTTCATTTGCTCTCTTCTCTGTAGGTGTTTGTCCACGGAGATGAACTGGAAAACTACTACAAGGAGTTTGACCCCGAAATTCTTCCATCTGAGTTTGATGGAAAAGGTTCCAAGTATGACGGCAAGGCCACAGCGAGCAAGCTGTTCGACTGACCGTCCTCCATCCGGTTACAGGCAGCCTGAGATGAGGGGGAGGGAGACTCGACAGACCAAGCCAGCTGTGTGGCTGTAGGGAGAAAAGTCGTGAATGAAACACTGGAGACGGGATTTCCACATGTTCTGATGAAACCATGTTATGCAGATAAAAAACAGTTTATAGAACATTAATTGATTTTAGCATTTAACAAAGTTATTATCCAAGAAGAATCACTTCACATTTACACTGAAACCTCCTAAGAGGTCAAATGTCATCCAGAAAGCTAACAAGTCATCTACGAGTCATTTGTCCGACACTTTCCTACACCTTCCTGAAAAGCCCCTAGATTTCCACACGCTGTGGTCACAGCTGAGTCACTTCAACGTGACTGGGAAACCTGGCCCACGTTCTCTGTGTAAACAGATTTATTATTTGTTTTACAGATGTCAGCGTTTTCCCATTTTACTCGCCAAATGAAATGCATCCAGTTCAGAAGTGAACCTTCCATGTCTGCCCACTGTTCTGTAGAACTGGGTTTGTTTGAACAGAGGTGCAGCCACACAGCAGCCAGGCCACAGCTTCCTCTACTCTCCACCTCAAGGCTTATATGTCAACAAGTGCCTGACTTTTGTGTCTGATTAGATTCATTTTCAGTGTTAGAAAAATATCCATAAATTTCTTCAAACATCCTCCTTTAAACACCAGTGATGTCAAATGTACAATAAACTGTATATAAATGTGGGTTTGGCTTAATTCTTTGATTTGCATGTTATAAACATTATTCATAACACAAAGTTGATAAAGGTTACCGTCTCTTTAAAGGAAAAGTCCGCTCACATTCAGAATACAAACTTCTGAAAGTACTTTAAGTATGAAATTATTCCATACTGTTCAATAAATAAGTGTTTTTAATTCAGAGTAATTTTCATTTGAATGTGCTTACTGGAGGCATCCATGTTTGTCAAAGAACACTACTGCCACCTACTGGTTTGTGACGTCACGGTGCGGTATCGGCTGTTGATCAAGTCTCAGTGCTATATCTGGTGTTTTTCACAACGCGCTATTATCAATGATGGCGACGACCAGTGCATTTCGCGAAGCAGACAGTAACGGATTAATGACGTGGAGGATCAGGAATCAGAAAGGTGAAATAACATTTTTTTTTCCACTTTTACCAGATGTATTCTAAAATCCAGCTGCCATGCACGTGGGCATTGTCAGTTTCACTATAGCTCTGGTGAATTTCAATGGTGAAGTCCTCTGGAAATCTTCAATAATTGTTGTTGATTGCAGATGTGTCTAGTAGTTCCCATTGATTTTGCTTGTAAAGCAGGGAGAATGGTGCTAGGCTTACCGCACCGTGACGTCACTGCTGGAAGATGGCAGGAGCGAGGTTTATTTTATTTATTTATTTTTTTACTGATTAACACTAAATTCATTAAATTACTGCAAACATGTAAGTTTTAGGTATAAATGATGATCCAGTGAACATTCCTTGCTAACCGGACTTTTTCTTCAAAAGATGATCAATGATGGAGGCAAGAAAAATAAAACTCATTCAGAAAAAAAAATCACTTTATTTTAATAATAAAAAGCAATGATTAAACAAGTACAAAATGAATTGATTTGAAGAAGGGGTGGTGAATAAAGGTTGGAAGCAGGTACTATCTTAAATACAGACCCCTAGGTTCAGGAGGCTATATGCAGATTTTTAAAAAAGCACCACAGAAGCTTTGATCTGCCTGCAGGTTTATGCTGAAAAGATTCTTTTATCTAGATTTACAATGAAGGCAGGGATTATTTGAGTAGAAAAGGGAAGAAGGAGCTGGGGCGCCAGTGACCGACTCCCAGCGTGAATCACATCCTGAGGACAGAACATGTGAAGCTTTTCCAGGTAGAGTCGCAGTCAGAGGATCAGGACAACAGACAACAAGGGATTTTGTTTCGGTTTTACACATCCGTATTTTTCCTTCATTCTCAGAAAGAGTTTTACAAAGATCACTGCTGGTGCAGTTGTATCATCTGCTGCAGGTATTTAAGAGTTTACTTCAAAGATAAAACATAATTTCTTGTAAAAAAAAAAAAAAATCTCATATTCTTTTGCTTCTGGCACAATGTGTTGCTGTGAGAGACGACAGCTTTTGTTTCAAGTATTTAACTAATGAGGGAAATTTGTAAGCAGCTTAAACTATTACAATTTGGCATTTAATCTGAGGCGGTCAGCCACATGGAGTTTATAATAAAGCCTCGAAGCAATAAAAAAAAAGACTGTTTCTGTCATATTTGTGGGACAGATTGAAATGTAAACTACAGATCAATAAAATAAAGTGCTGTGGATCAGTCCTTGGAATGGTTCAAGCTCTCTCATGCTGCCGAAGCACAGCGATTTAAAGTGCTCATACAGAACAGAACAATAATTTAGCTATCAAAAAAAAGAGCTAAAAGACGTCTGAAAACATCAAACTTTATATATTAACCTGGAAAGCAGCCGTGGAAACGGTACAGGAAGTCCTGCTGGTTCTGGTTGGAGTTGTGAGGGATTATAATCAGCGTTATATCTCAGATCGACAAATTACGTTTATGAGTCAGTGTGATTATTTTTTTGCAGCTTTCAGAGAATAGCGAGTTAAATAAAGCTACCAGCAGTTCAGAGTCGGCGTGCGCCTCTCTGCAGTTTCTATGAAGGAGATGGTAGATTAGTGGTTAAAAGAAGCAGTTATTCAGTGTTAGATCACATCACACTCACTGCTGTTACCCCAAGCAGGATTAAACCTAATCTGCTGAGATTTTTCTGTGAATTACTGTAAGATCATGAGGTCAAAGCCTCAGGTATGCAGGTGTCATCCACTGGGTTTCAGCCATGAATGCGTGTTTGGCTCTGCGGTCCCCTGGCAGCCCTTCTGTTGCCTCTCCCAGTTGCAGATGGCGTCGGTGTATTCAACTATGACCTTGTCCATCCAGGTGAGGGGCTGAGGGAAAAGCACGGCTCCTTCAAAGAAGCCCATGTGGCCTCCGTGCTCAGTCAGTGCAAACGTCACATTGGGCATCTCCTCTACAATATGAGACAGAGAGAGAGAAACGGCAATGTTTACATCCACCAGTGAAAGGAAAGGATGTCAGAATCATTTGGTGTTTTAATGATTTCAGAACCTCTGAGAAACAAAAACTAAAAACACGGAGGTGGCAGCATCATGCAAAGGGTATATTCTGCTGACGCAGAGTCTGCAGAATATACCCTGGATAGCGATTATCTCTCAGTTCCTTAACTTCACTTCAAATCAGTAGAAACAGTGGAAGGAATTAAGGAGTTATTTTTTTTCTAGAGCACTCTTTAAACTAAGTTAGAAGAAGTCCTGCTTTCAGCCCCCTGGATGCCCCCCCAAAGACCCTCACCTCAAACCAAATGTAATTGGAGAAAGTGGAGTGTGTGTGCCAGGACAATGATTCCCTTCCTGAGTCTGCAACATAGGCCAATTTATGTTTTTTTTTTCTTTGTTTTTTTGGAGATGGAAAGCATAAAATGCAAAATAATTAAATGCTCAAATTAAAAGATTAAGTAAAATTATTTTTATTTAATTGTATATTACACTTTTGGACAATCATCAATACTTTTGATTGAGAGGGGCACTCATGGTATGAAAAAAGTGACCAAAGGGGAACACAAGTCAAAAAAGAAATAAAACAGAAATAAACTCGACCAGACAGATGTTAAATGTGTGACCAGTGATGGTTACACCTACATGAGCTTGAATAGAAACATTCAACCAGTGTTTTTTTTAAACAAATCTCTACACCAAAAGGTGCGATCATGAGTGGATCTGAACTGGGGATGCAACTAGTGATTATTTGGCTAATCGATTAATCTGGTTAGTGCTTTTTTCTTTAAATAATCTTGATTACTAATTGTATACCTAAAAGAAGAATCAATAAAAAGAAGAAGATGCAGGTATTATGTGGATTTTTCCTAACGGCCAGATGGGGAGAATAAGGGGCTAATTTTTGTTTAGCACAAGAACATGCTAGCAGCAGGAGCGACAGAGAACCAATGACTTAAATTCACACATTTTGCCATTTATTTGCTGCATTAAAGCTGCCAAACTAATGAAAAGACTGGGCTGAACTGCAGAGCTGAAATACAGAGCAGACGAAGCCCCGTCTTTCAGTAGAAGCTGTCACTACCCGACCCTTCCCTGAAGCACGATCCGTCCTGCGCAAACAAATATACATCCAGGTTTCCATAAATAATGTAATTATGGTACTAAAATGACTTATTTCTATCCTTAACTCACAAAAAATGCTATTACACATCTTTAAAAAATGTTTTATGACTTTTCTGAGACAATTTTGTTGCTTTTTTACGTTTTCTCCGTTAAACTACTTCTCAGACGTCATCATGGGACATGCTCCGAGCAGTCCGGCAAAATGTGATTAAACCATGTTTATCTGCATTTCAGTTGTTTCTTTAGATCACGCACTATACCATAATGTGAACACAAAAGGAAAACATAAAACTCAAAAACACTAGATTATTCTTTAGTGAAAAGCCAAAATATTTAGCTCCTGGAAGTAGCGTAGGATCCCATTCCCGGTGCAGATTAGGCAGAGACAACTGATAAAACAGAAAGGATTTTAAAGCATTTATTTTCTCAGGAAATACATTATTAACCTAGTAGAACATGATGTAATAACGTAAAATCCAGGGTCCAATGTAAAAAAAACGGCGTTTCCCTTTAAATGTTGTGGGCTCGGCTTATAGTGAGATGCACTCTATAGTCTGGAAAGTCCAGTATATATATTTTTTCTTACAATCTTGGTATAATTACTGCTCTAAGTGGGTCACTCTAAACAGCTAAAAGCATGTTTTAGAGTTTCTATAACCCATTTTAATGATTATTCGATTACTAAATTAGTTGGCAGTTATTTCAATAATCAATTAATCACGATGTTCCAATAAATTGTTTCAGCCCCAATCTGAACAATTCGCTGAATCGCTCGTTGTAACATCAGTGATCATAGTAACACAAGACTGGATTAAGTGTTTCTGATCAGAGCTTCATTCATGCCATTAATATTTTTGGCTTGTTAAAATATGTCAGCTGCCTATTGTTATCAGGCTATGTTTGCTTGAACATGATTGACTAATACTTTCTCTACTTTTTGGTTTGTTGTTCTTCATCTTCAGTCTGACATTTCAGTGTTATGATAAATGATGTCACCACTGGTGTGAAACAAAGAGTCACTGGGCTTTCAATGTAGGAGCCGTATCAGTTACATCCTTCGGGTTAAACATGTTTATTTAATCTACTACGGATGGAAACTAGCTATTAGACAGTCTCAAGTCTCAGCATACCCAACAGAGTAACCCAACCCTGGCAAACTGTGCCACTGTCTTAGCAAATTAGCAAGAGACTCATGGACACAGTGTCCTGCAGGAGTCTTATTTCATGCCAACCAGCAAAGCTGCTTTTGGCTTCTTGTCCTTTGTAATAAACCAATGATGTAGGACAGACGCACATGAAGTCAGTTTTACACAAACTCACATCAAACTGGATGCTAATTCCAAAAACATCTAAATAAAACAGCTATGTGATTAAAAACTAAATATGTGAACAGCTGTAAACTTTGAAAACAACATAATTTTTTTTTCTTTTTAAATATTTATAAATCTGTAGATTTATAGGATGCATTTTATTTTTACTGACATGACTGTTATCCTTATTTTACTTTTGGAAAACCATCAACAATGAAGGAACATTGCTGCATAAATGCTAATGACGGTAAAAGAAGGCTTGCGTTTCATTTGGCTGATTCAGATTTGATCCAAAGTTAGGAAAAGACAAAGGCATCTTTTAATGGATAATTAAAACTCCTTAAGGGATAATAAACCTGAAATGCTAAAGAGGGAAGTATTTAGCTCAGAGGAACGTTAAAACTAATCTTCAGTTCCCTCCACAGGGGAGGGAACCACTGCCGGCTTCCGTAGCGTCGTGAACGCGCATGTCTGCGCTTTCAGGAAATCCTATACACTACTGTTTATGCTCTAAAAACATTCTAAATGACTTCGTTTCGAGTAAATTCTGGATGCTACCCACTCAGGACACTTGGAATACATTGGACGAGCAGTATGGAGGAATATTGACACGTTTTTTGTGGACTTTTATGGACCTTTCTGTCTCGGGCACCATAGACCTCCATTATTTGAATGTCAGGAGATAGCAAGAAGCCTCCCAGATCTCCAGATGCATTTGAGATATCAAAAAAGTACTCCAGAGTGTTGTTCAGCATGGGGGTGAGTAGAAAATGAAGGCTAATCATGTTTTGGGTGTACTATTCCTTTAAGACAAAGCCATGAGTGTCCGACCCCAGATCAAAGACAGTTTGGAACCACTCCAAGGTTACAGTCGCTGTTAGGAGAGCTGAGAGAAAAGATGACCTAGGCTGTGTCCAAACGTCTGACCTAACCCCTCAATCATTATATAGAGAGGAGACTATATAGCAGACTATAGAGTAACTATATAGTGACTCTATAGTGGACTTTAACTCAGTTAACTGACCGTTCAGACACATGATCACTACTTTCCGCTCCCCGTTGGTCACATGACAGGGGGTAACCAGGGGAGCTCAGCCTCTCACGACCACCTCCCCATCACAAATCGTAACGCCAGGCATACACTGTGCGATTGTTTGCCCTTTTTTGACCATCCAGTCGTGCAAGAATTTTCCGATCGGCTTGATTTTCAGCTGATTGTGTGTCGTGCGTGGTGTAGTGTACAGGGGGTAACGAGGGGAGATCAGCCTCACATGACCATGCTAAGGAACCTAAAGGGTCTGGAGAAAATCAGACATGTTTAATTGTCAGTCGACCATCGTGGGTAAATCGCTCAGTGGGTTTGCGCAAACAAGGATTCTTCTTCTTCTCAGAATCTTCTTATCTTCTTCTTCCTCTCAGAAGAAAACACAGAAGCATGGCAGAGGTGTGAGTGAAATGGATAGCTTTTTTAAAAATTGACAGACCGTAGTAGCCACGTTTGCTCAGCCATGTCTTTGTCCAAATACATCCTTGCCTTTTATTTTTAGGGCTTTCAGCACGAAATTGAACAAATAGCCAAGGCAGCATGTTTCACTCTAGTGAGCTTCATATTCCTCTTCTACTCGTTTGGCTTCCGGATAGACGAGTCCGAGTAGCGCCATCTTACTGCGGAGCTGAGAGCCACCTGGTTTTTAGACATAGCGTGACCAGGTAGATCGGATCAGAGCGTTGGGTCACTCGGTGTGAGAACAAACATCGTGAGCTGTGAGCTTTTAAACCCTGCGGTTTCGTTGTACAGGTTGAGCTGTAGCTGCGTGCAGCGATTGAATAAAATCTTACAGTGTATGCCTGGCTTTATATGGCTAACGCCATCCCTGCTGTTAAACACTGACAGCAGCAGCATCAACCTAAAGGAATGTTCTTTAACAGGAACTAAAGTGTAATGCCACAAGCCATTATATAGAATTTTAAGATTAGTGGAACAACTTTCATGCAGGTTTTCCTTTGCAAACCCTAAAGGCTGCAGCCGCCTCTTCAAGACAATCGCATACGAGCCCCCCAATGATATTAAGATTATGAGACCCCCAAACTCTCTCTCTTTTCGTGAACCTAGGAGCGGAGGCCACATTGGGGGGGTTGTCTGAGTGGTTGTTGCTGCAGGCCAGGGACTACATGCGTCAGATGAGGGCTGAACGATTTTGCCAAAAATTTAATTTGTGATTATTCAACCAATATTCCGATTTTATTATGATTTTTCTTTGCACTAATGTCTAAGTCACTAAGCACAAGCATGTTGATGTTTTACTCCAGGGTTTCACAAGCCTGCTTGTGCTAAATCCAGTGTTGCAGGACTTTACTGTAACATTTGCATGAAAAAGTTCTATAATGCATAGGTCTAGGTGTTAGATGCAACTCTCTGTTCCCTTCTGTGCGACAGTATACACACTTTAATCGTATTACCGCCACGTAAAGTCTCAATACATTGTTAAATGTATTGAGACTAAAAATTTAACGCATCTGTGATTTGAAAATTTTCCTAAATTACGATTATAGTGCAAATGCAATTAATTGCGTAGCCCTTCTTCAGATTGTTGAAAGTTTCCGACTAACAGGCTACTTCCAGGACCAGATTAATGTAAAACAGACTGTCTGCAACATCCTGTCTTTAATCCAGGAGTAACTTGGTAACTTAACAGCTTTCATGGTTTATCAATCTCTCTGACCTTTGGTTCCAACTGTCCAAAGCATCACTGGATTCCTCTCATCATTTATCAAAATGGAGGTCAACAGAGGGAGCAGGTCTGGCAAAACATGAGAAAGTGTTTCCAGCTGAACCATTTGGGGTTTTTGATGATATCTGATAAATGTATGAATTTAGTACGTTCTGAAATTGAATGATGGTGACCACATGCTGGCTAACCAGATAATTAACCCTCTGCCATGTTGGTTAACACTCTTCGTTATTCTCTCGGGAACAATCACATATTGTTAGTTATTTATTTTGGATAAGGCAAATCAATTAATAAATTATCATTTTTTAAATGTTAAATGTTTAACCTCCTTGGATTTAGGGTGAACATATTTAAATAGATCTAAATGACTTTAAAAGCTAATTTAACCCTTTAACTCTTCAAGATCAACTTCTGCGTACAAACATAAAATCCATGCTGAACTTTGATATCGTGGCATCATTTCATTGATTATGCTTTCAACCATTTTCATTTGCCTTTTTATTCTACATGTGCATTGTGCCCACTAGGGCCGAAACAATTTATCAATTTTAACAATAATCGTCAATTTAGCAATTGTTTAACTGTTAACTGGATTATAGTCTGCAAGACGTGCTCTAAGCTCACAGTGCGACCCACTTAGAGCAGGAATTATATCAAAATTGTAAAAAACTATTTATAAAAATTTAGCATTTAAAATCAAAACATGTATTTTTGTCAATATCAAGAACTCAAGTGGAAAAGTTTAGTTTCACCTGATTTAATTTTGTAAAAAAATCTTCTTTAAGGTTTAAGCTTTTACGATTTGATTATTAATCGATTAATTGAAAAAAATGTTCAACAGATTGATTGACTTGCAAAATAATTATAATAGTTTACTAATTATAATAGTCTAAACTAATAATAGTTTAGACTTTTTCACAGAAATGTGTTTGACTTTGACCAAAATTATTTCCGGTAATAAACAATTATATTTATTGTGAATTGGTCTAAAAACATTCCAATTTCTCTAAATTAGTGAAAAGCTAATTTGATCATATCGAAAATTCTTCCAGATAAACTTTGGTTTTTAAACACAAGATTGAGTTTCACTAGTTTTAGTTAAGAGTGTTAAACTGAAATATGTTTGACTTGGAGCTGAATGATTTTTGTTAATAAACTCTTATATTTTGAACAGAAGTTGTGGTGAATTTATTCCATGTATGTGCAGAAATAACTGTTAGACCATGATTAGTGCTCGAATCACTCTTTCATCCATTGTTCTAACACACAGCTAGTAGGGCTGTGTGTCATAAACAGTATATAACAGCTGAAATAATATCTGGTTAAATAAGATATTTTCCACCCCTACAGGGGAGGGCAATAAACATCTTAAAGTATCAGAAATATACATTCCCAGTTTGCTGGGAATTGAAGAGAGCATAAAATCACAACACCAGATATTTAGTAATTCACTGTGAGAACACAAAGCCAAGTTCATTTGTAATCACACATCCTCCATTGGCAAATCTATGTAGAAAAGGTAAGAACAGCACAAACAATACTTCAATAATAAAGAATATATAATACTCGCAAACACACATAAAAGATGTCTTAATAAAAGAACTGAGTTAATTTGTTATTGTGATATTATCTTGCATTTTTTAACCTTATCCAGTTGAACTGGAAAGAGATTATACATAAATCATTAAACACATGATTAGCTTAAAATATTTCTATTATGAAATAAACACAGTAACTTCAAATATTTCCAGTATACTAGCTTTTATTTTACTTCACTTTTACTTTGAAAGGCTTCAAATAAACTTCTGGTTTTGACCGTAAAGGTCTGCAGCTAGACTCTCTAGGTAATTTTTTAATTTGGTCCTCACAAAACAAAAAACTTTTCCAGCCCTTATGCTACGTTCACACTGGACCCAGCAATAGCAGCAAAATCGCGTCTGATGCTTCATTTTTACTGCTTGTACCAGTTAGTTCTGACGCGCGGCTGAAGCAGCTTTGCTGCTCTGGCTCCGCGGCGCAAAAGTGTGTCTGACGCGCGTTGGGCGGAGCTTCACTATCCTTTCTTTGCCTTGCAGCTATATTTGCTGTGATCAGTGGGAATAAAGTAGTTTTAATATGTTTTTAAGTGAGAAAATACACCTGAAAACGTAATCAGTGCAGTCAGTTCATCCATATTATCATCCTGCCTTCCAATATTTTTTCTGTCGGAGCCGCTCAGACCCCCACATACCAGCGGTGCACCGACAGTTGGAATCTCTTCATCAGCAGCCTCTGGCTGGGTCCCCTCCTCACGGTTCACGGCGGCAGCTGGTAGGTGTTTTTCATCTAAATAATCCAAACTGCAGGCAGCAGGATAATAAAAGCGAACATATTCTGCCGGCAGATTTCTGCATTTTAAGTTAATTTAGGTGTCAATAAACTGTTTAAGAGGAGTGATCATAGCCTCTGATCATCAGCGCTGTGTCTCTCTCCCAGCCAGCTCCCAGATCAGCTTATCTGATTGGTTGATGCGGCGCGTCGAGCAGCAAAAGTTCAATTTTTCCATCTCGAGCAGCAGCGCGTTTGCGGCGCGTCACGCGTGTCAGATGCTTAAACGTGCCCGACGCGCTGCTTCAGCTGCTCAGACGCGCTGCACCTGCTGCTCAAAACGCGCTGCGGGACCTTTTGCTGCGCCTTGACGCGCGTCAATCATTGACTTTGCATGTAAACTCGCTGCTTCTGTCGCGCCAGCTGCGTCCGGTGTGAACGCAGCATTATTTTTTACTACATAATAAAATATTTTTGAATGTACCCCTTGCAATGCACTCACGGACCACTAGGGGTACAAGTACCTCCAGGATGGGAATCACTGCTGTATAGGAAGCAAATGAGGATTTGTTTTTAGTTGACCACTAACCTGCCAGTCTGCAGGGTATAGCCAGAAGTGACCGATGAACTAAAGGATCATCTAAGGAGTTCATCAGGAGGAGCGGTACAGATACCTGCAGAAACATTTCAATGTCAGTTTAATCCTGGATTGCCACTTCAGCAGTATCCATTATAACATTAATTGTACAAGCACCAGACCATTAAAAGGAAATCCATTGGATGGTTAGTGTTTACCACGTTATTCAAGCACTGATGGCAGATAGAACAACTTTATTACAGAATCCAGTTTAGGATACTTTAAACTCACATTGTGAATATAGTGCACACAGCTCTCCTTCTCATAGTACTCCCTCAAGGAGCCGTAGCCGTGGAATTTCCTGCAGGGAAACCATGTGATACGATCAGACTGAATGTGCATCAGCTGCATTCCCATCGACTCATTAACCTGATAGTATTTCACCTCATTATGTTGTCATCTATCTGCATCAGAGAGGTAGCTGTGTACAGCCTGTTGAGGTCTGCATCAGCAATATTGCTGGAGGACATGCCCAGCAAACTGCCCCTGTGAACCAAGATCAGCATGGAGATGAAAATCAGCAGAAACTTTAATATTGACACATCTTCTCAGGGTTAGATGAACCAAACAAAGCAGGGCGGTCGTTTCGGGGAAGGTGTGTATTAGTTTTCCTCTACCTGTGTGACAGAATGAGCTTCTTCATGTTTCCTGCCAGCACAAAGTTATAAAGGCGTCGACACTGGTCCCACTGCAGGAATGTTTCCTGGGCCCTAGAGGCATGGAAGGACATTCATGCAAAATTAGAAAAGGAAAACACATTTCTACAGTGTTTGGCAAAACTATTCAGACCCCTTGACTTTATTTTGTCAACATTAGGGCTGCAACTAATGAATTATTCTCTCGATTATTTCATTGATTAATAGATTAATAATATGAAAGCAAAACGTTCCTTAAAGAAGACTTTTTGCAAAATTAAACCAGATGAAACTAAAACTTTTTCATTTAAGGAGTTCTGGATAGGGCAGATTTACAGATGAAAAAGATTTTTATCATAAAACCAAAATGTCATACACACTCCGCTTTGTTTTTAAAAGATATAAACATTAAAAATATAACCGCGGATGTGTGGGGGACAGTGATTGGCCTACATGTTATGAATGCTGGCGTACCATAAAGAATAAATTATGAACAGTTTAGTTTGTGCCTTCAAGTCGTTGCCCATAGGAAGACGTTACGTGGATATAACCTAACGGAATATCTTCAGAACGGCTCCAAATGGCACAAAACTCATATGGGTGAGTAGAACATGATGTAATAACGTAAAATCAAGGAGCCAAAGTAAAAAAAACGGTGTTCCCCTTTAAATGGAGAGGGCTGGTCTTTTCAAAAATAACGAAAATCCTCCATGACAGCTTTAATGAAATCTGCGGAGCAATGCAGAAGTCAGACCAGAAAAACTCCTCCTATGGATTCTTAAACTGTAAAGACTGCTTCAAATTTGCATATATGCATTTCTCATGCCTCTTAGTTCTCTGATCTCCAGCAGTATATGGGTGAAAGGCGGGGTTCTGTCACCAGTCTGTCACAGGGTGAAGCAGACACACACAATCATACGCACAAAAACTCACAGCTAAGGACAATTTAACAATGCCCATTAAGATAACAGTCAGGTTTTTAGACTGTGGGAGGAAGCCAGACTACCACCACTGCAAAAACCTGGAAATAAGTAAACATTTGGTAAATTAAGTGTATTTACTCTTAATTGGAGTGGGTAAATAAGATGATTTGCCAATAGAATGAGATAATTCAATAATATGCACTTAAAATAAGATAATGCAATTGTTTTTTTTTTCTGAGTCTAAATCCAAATAGTCTTGTTCCATTGGCAAAGTGTCTCACTTACCTCCTCAATTAAAGAAAAAATGACTTATTTAGATTTCAATGTTTTGGAGTGCATGTCTATGGAATGTGGGAGGAAGCCAGAGTACCCAGAGAGAACCCATGCATGCACAGGGAGAACATACAGTAAGACTCTGGACTGTGATTCAAACCCAGGACTGTTTTGCTGCAAGGCAAGACTGCTACACACAGTGACTCTGTGCAGCATCTAAATATATATGTAAAACAATATAACAATTTAAAATAGGCTTTGTCCCACCAGTTAGTTCTTTTTATAACTAAACTGCACACATTAACTGTGTTTAGTCATATTCCTTTAGTTTGATCTTTTAGAAAAAAAAAATAGTGAAGACAGAAGTACAGATGAAATTTCTGAAAATTAAACCTCAGTAATCTCATCCAGGGGTTGCTGAAGTTGCAGGATAGGGGCTCTGGACGACCTGACCACATGTTTTCTGCCCTGTTTGGGTAGAAAACACATTGATCCTAATCTAGATGTAAAGTTTTTTTTTTGTGACATTTGAAATTTTCCCCAGACATTTTTTTTTTTCCTAGCAGGTTTTATTCCAGCAGATCTAAAGGTAATTAAAGTAAAGCCTCCCCAGAGCATGATGCAACCACCAGCCCGTTTCACAGTAGGGGAATTGTGCTTATTAGGAATGTGAAGCCTTTCTATTTTCAGATGATGGATAGAAGAACGCTCTGGGATATTGTTTTATAACCTCACATGAAGCCAAATACTCTAACTTAAATTCATTGTTTGGGTTGTTGGCATGTCCAGTGCACCGACCTGAGGGCGCTGTATCCTTGGCAGACGCTGACGCAGCACAGCACTCGCTCCTGGTTGGACCGATTCTCTCCCAGGAACTTGCACACTATGTTTCCTCCCAGACTGAAGCCTACAACCACCAGCAGTGTTTGGGGAAAGGTACGCTTGATGTAGTCCACCATGGCCCCGAATTCCCAAGTACAACCTGAAGTAGAGGAAAAAGAAAATGCTTTGCTACATACAGTGGGTACGAAAAGTATTCAGACCCCTTTAAATTTTTCACTCTGTTTCATTGCAGCCATTTGCTAAAATCAATAAAGTAAATTTTATTTCCCAATAATGTACACTCAGCACCCCATCTTAACAAAAAAGAAACTGAAATGTAGACATTTTTTGCAAATTTATTAAAAAAGAAAATCTAAAATACCAAATGGTCATAAGTATTCAGACCCTTTGCTTTGATACTCCTATTTAACTCACATGCAGTCAATTTCTTCTGATCCTTGTTCAGATGGTTCTGCTCCTTCATTGGTGTCCAGCCGTGTTTAAATAAACTGATCGGACTTTTATTAGGAAAGGCACATATCTGTCTATGTAAGAGCTTCCAGCTCACAGTACATGTCAGAGCAAACGAGAATCATGAGGTTGAAGGAACTGCCCAGGAAGATCAGAGACAGAATTGGGGCAATGCACAGATCTGTCCAGGGTTAAAAAAGAATTTAGCAGCCCTCAAGGTTCCTAAGAGCACATAGACCTCAATAATCCTCAAATGGAAGAAGTTTGGGACGACCAGAACTCTTCCTGGACATGGTCATCTGGCCAAACTGAGCAATCGTGGGGGGACAGCCTTGCTGAGAGAGGTAAAGAAGAACCCAAATATCACTGTGACTGAGCTCCAGAGATGCAGTAGGGAGATGGGAGAAAGTTCACCATCACTGCAGCCCTCCACCAGTCAGGGCTTTATGGCACGGTGGCCCAATGGAAGCGTGCATAGAGTTTACCAACAAACACATGAAGGACTCCCAGACTATGGGAAAGAAGATTCTCTGGTCTGATGAGACCAAGATTGAATGTTTTGGCATATATTCTAAGCAGTATGTAAGGACAAAACCAGGCACTGCTCATCAGATGCCCAATACAATCCCAACAGTGAAACATGGTGGCGGCAGCATCATGCTATGGGGTGTTTTTCAGCTGCAGCGACAGGTTGCAATTGAAGGTAAATTGAATGTACAGAGATATCCTGGAAGAAAACCTCTTCCAGAATGCTCAGGACCTCAGACTGGGCCCAATGTTCACCTCCCAACAACTTGGACTTACACAAATTTTATTGCCGTTCTTTTGTATACACAGAGTGTATACAAAATTATATTTCGTTTATTAAAGCTTTTCAGACAGTAAACTAACATTTCCATTCCATAAAGTGCAGCAGTGATCAAATATAAAGACAATGACCTTAGGCACAAAGCTAAAATAACAAAGGAGTGGCTTGGGGAGAACTCTGTGAACATTCCTGATTGGCCCAGCCGGAACCCTAACCTAAACCCAATTGAGCATCTCTGGAGGGACCTGAATATGGCCGTCCACCAACGCTCACCATCCAACCTGACAGAACTGGAGGGGATCTACAGGGAAGAATGGCAGAGGATCCCCACATCCAGGAGTGAAAAACTTGTTGCATCATTTCCGAGAAGACTCATGGCTGCTCTAGCACAAAAGAGTGTTTCAACTCAATACTGAGCAAAGGGTTTGAATACTTATGACCATGTGATATTTCAGTTCTTCTTTATTAACAAATTTAAAAAAAAACTTTCTACTTTTTTTTCTGTCAAGATTGGGTGCTGAGTGTACATTAATAAGAAATAAAATAAACTTTAGTGATTTTACCAAATGGCTGCAATGAAACAAAGAGTTTTATCAAAAGACTTAAAGTAAAAAAAACAATCCACTGAACTTTGTTTCCAAGTTTGAAGACTTTTTGTTAGCCATCCAGGAAGCTTTTTCAATTCAGAATGTCAGAATTGGCATTTAGTTTGAAGCTTTATATAGTAACCCAAACAATTGTTTTGGCTTAGAAAACATGCAAATTAAACCAGATGAATTAAAAAATTGTGAAAAATGTAAAGGGGTCTGAATACTTTCCATTCCCCCTGCATATATCACCATCTAGAAGATCTGTGTTAGATCCTGGCAGTAAATCATGTTGACCCTCCTTACCGCAGGTAAACATGCGCGGCGAGGTGAGCTCCATGTCAGGCAGAGCTCCCAGATGGTTGAGGACGGCACAGCGGTAACCCCGCCGCTGGGAGTAATCCACAAAGGTTCGAATGTAGTTCTTCTTACTATGGTTACCAATCCCAGGGCAGATTACCATAGTAACATCATCTGACACCCAAACAAAGAAACCAAATGAAAACATTAACTGGAGTCACTCTGAGAGTCAGGGTGTGTTTGTGTGTTTCTCATTGGAGTTGTTCATGCTCCTGCATTCTTCAGCCTGAAGCACTCTGCATCCAAATAAGCAAGCAGATAAAAACAAAACAATACTATAATAGTAAACCGACCCCTAAGCTGACACTCAGATGCTACCGACCTCCTGTGCTGTGCTCTCCAAGAGCTTCAAACAGGTCAAAGGTGGCTGTGGCTCCGTCCTGCATCGGGAGGAATACACGAAGCCCGCAGGGTGTTGGAGTGCTGACACGTCCCATCTTGCCATACAGAGCTGTCTGAAGATGACCACTCTTCCCCCACAGTAAGGGAGGAATGTATCTGAGGGGAATCACAACCTCCAGATTACAAAAATGTATCCTCCTTCACAGCCAGATGGTTTAGTGGAAAGGAGAGGGACAGAAGCAAAGATCATGCGCTGTGTGAAACCCACTCCTTGGACAGCGTGGGGCAGGACTTGAGCAGGTATCGGCTGAGCGGCGTGTCCTGACTGATGATCTCTGGGGCCGCAGGTGAACTCGTCAGATTGAGGCAGCGCACAATGACGTAGAGGACTGCAGCCACTGCGGCCAGCTTCATGCCATCAAACATGGCTGGCAGCTCGGAGCCAAAGGTCTCCATGTCGCCATCCTCCGAGAATGTCATGGTGGGAACTTTAGACCTGTGGTTCATTGGAACAACAAACACCTTGCTAAGGTTGTATCATATTTCTACGTGTCTCCTTACAAACACATTTATTTGTATTTTTATGGGACAGACCAACCAATAGAACATAACTGTGAATTCAACATCGTCTGATCTGCTCCTGGTCTCCATGGTGCTCTTCTAAAGGCTTTATTTAAATAAAAAGCAATGCTAGCTAACCTTTGAAAAATAAGCTCCACAAACTCCATCAAAGTGAAAACGAAGCTGCTGCCCCCTGAGATGATTCCCATTTATTTTCTCTGCAGCGATCACTCTTTAATTAACAATTCTTTCATCGTTAAATGAATCAAAATAATGGAGGGGATACTTTTATCCTGACAAAAGTTTGACTTTAGAGGGAGATTAAACAAAACATTTGGATTTATGAAATGTATTATGAGGAAAAACTATTATCAATGATTATCAGTGATAATCAATTGTTTGTTGCCAGATCATGACATCATACACATTAGCAGATGAGGATTCATCCATGGCTCCTGCCTTATCAAAATATTACACTTTGTTCTTAGCTGAAGGACGCCGCTCTCATTCCATTCCCAGCTCTTCGCCACGTACAGAATGAAGATGATAACTGCAGGAACTGTCCTAGTTAGAGAAACTACATTAGTTCTGACACGCAACAGGCAGCTAATATTAGGGATTAACAGACTCAAACATTATTAATAATAATAATCCTAACAATTCCCTCTGACAAGGTGACATTTTTAAAGTCACCTTTAAACAAACGCTTGTATGTCCGCAAACCCATTAATGTCTGTTTATGACCGGGATATTAAAAGAAAAGAAAAACGTTCTTTCATCATACAATCATCAAATAAAGAATCAACAGTCTCCCTGATGATGTAGCATTAATCAGGGATCAAAAGTAATCACAATCAAAACTTCACGCTGTCATTTAAGACCACAGGTTCAGCATCTAACTACAATTTGGGTTTCATCTAATTAAAGGAAAGCTGTTTTAGTTTCCTATGCGCACATTATTTTAATTTACAATAGATTAGGTAATCTAAGCCTATAACTGTAATAAGGTCAAATTCATCTACTGTTACTCCCACCTGGAGGCTTCCTAAGTGTGACTGCTCATCATGGATAAACCATCCATCCACATTTACCAATAGTTCAGTCACAGTAGGGACCAGAAAACCCCACCTTATCGAAACAGTAGTAAAAATGGTGGATGAGCCCAGGGAAATAACATTCTGAGCAAGAAGACCCCATTTTGAATCTGATAATTAGCATAACCATCTAAGTAAATAACCTAAAGCCAATCATGTTCTGAGACTGTCTACATCAAAACAAAAGAGGAATAAAACATGATCTTGGTTGGTCTGAAGCAAAATATTTACATGTTCTTCATAATGAAACCGTTTTAAATAATTGCCCTGCACTTTCAGTGGTCTTGGAGTCCAAATACTAAGTCACCGGCCCCCCAAAAATAAAAATAAATAAATAAAAATAACAAGCATCAGGTGCTAGAGAGTCATCATGCTCAGATAATTTGGCCTCTTGGTGAATTCATTGCTTCCAACTTAGAAGAAATATTTTAATCTCAATAGGAAACATTTACAACCTTAAAGGAAATGATTCACACAGAAATTATAGTTCATGAAATATTAAGATCATCATCTTAAAGCATTTGCTTAAATCAGCAATAATGATCCTTAAAATAAACAAGTTTAAATGATTTAAGTGATGGTAAAGCAACAGCTCTGACTCACCTTTCTGCTTTAGAACCAACAATTACTGCACTGCTAGAAAAGAAAAAAACACGTAATAAAGAAAACTTCACACAATGACACACAAAGACGCTACAATTAAGGTAAAAATGAAAAACAAAAATGTATCTTGGTTGGTTTAACTTTACCGTGAGCTGGTGAAAGCAGAGAACAGGTTCAGTTTTTCTCTTCCAGGTAAAACTGGAACAGAACGAACAGGGGAGAGAAAAAGAAAATAAAACCACACGGACGCCGCAATGAATGTCGCAAAAGTTTCTAAAGTTTTTAAAAAGACACTTCCGGACTCACCATTGTGTTTAAGGAGCTGGCAGAGTTTATTTACAGGCGTCTCTTCCTGCGGAGAAACTGACCAGCTGAGCAGCGAGCCGGAGATGCCTTCAGGTTCCTCCCAGAAAGCTCCAAAATTAAAAAACTTTTCCTCCCACAACTCTAGATAAGTGACGTCCTGAACACGGATTAACTGATATGTGTGTATGTTCTCCCTCACAATAAGGCTATGTTACATGCTTATTCGTATATTCCTTCCGTTTACGGTCCATTTCTCATTTCCGTGGAGTAGTCTTTGGCCCTTTAAGAAAGTTTCAACAGCCCCGAAAGGCAGCACAGCAAACAGCGATCCTTCCCACTGAACCCTACCTCAGCTTTACTGTCACCTCCCTCCCAGTTTGTCTGGTCAGGCATACGCCCTGTGACTGACTGCTGCACACTAAGGTCACAAATATGTGCCCTGATGACAGGACATAGTTGCATAATCCCTCTGAATAACATTCAACATCCAGTGGAAGGACGGAAGTTCACAAACTAAACTAAACTACGCTCAGACTCTTCTGAAAGGAAATAAAAATGTAATCATGGATGAGCAAAACTAAAACTGTAAAAACGTTGAGAAATCTATCAGTTTAAAAAAACAAAAAACAAACTTTGATTAAAACCAGAGTGCAATAAGTGAGTAAAGTAAAAGTTATATGTATACCACTTCCAAAAGTGAAAAAAAAAAAATCCACCAGACTTTGTTTCCAAGTTTGAAGACATTTCTCTTCCCATCCAAGAACCTTTTTCAATTCAAAGTGTCAGAAATAGCGCTGAGATGTGAAGCAAAACGTCTTCAAACTTGGAAACAAGTCCAGTGGATTATTTTTTTATGTTTTTTGGAACGACTATAACCTGGATAACCTGGATTAGCGAGAATCTTCATCAGTATATTGTATATATGCAATATATTTTTTGTAAACAGGATTTTAAACACTGAATTTTTTTTAACACTGTATTTTAAACAGGCAAATTTTTTGCAGCTGATTTTTATATATATATATATATATATATATATATATATATATATATATATATATATATATATATATATATATATATATATATATATATATATATATAGTGTTTTTTGCAGCTGAATTTGCACCAAATAAAAATTCTACGGAAGAGGACTAGGACCACTGGGAAAAAAAAGTTAACAGATTTTTTAATTTTATTTCAGTTTAGTATGGGGAAAAAAGTCAGAATTCTGACTTTAATCTCAGAATTCTGACTTTTTTCTCAGAATTCTGAGATTAAAGTCAGAATTCTGACTTTTTCCCATACTAAACTGAAATCAAATTTTAAAATCAGTTAACTTTTTTTAATTTTCAGTGGCCCTAATCCTCTTCAGTATAAAATTATAAAATTCAGAATAAGGCATTCAGTTTATAAAAATATTCCGTCTTTAAAATTAAGTGCTAAAAAAATGTAGTATTTAAAATTTGGTGTACAAGAAAGGCCGATTCCAATTAGACTTTTTTCCTTCCATAGCATACCACTTCAGTGGCAATGTTATGCAAAGTGCGTTATATGATTAAAAACAGCAGAACATATGTGCAGTAAAATTGCTAAAATCATTCAAAACATCAATCAAGTATAATAATAATAAAAAAAAAAAAAGTCAACCAACTACAGGTGAGAATCCCAGGGAGATGGTCAATGTATAATAAGATATTTAGTTTCAGGCAGCTTTTCAGCTGGATTACTGTAATATTAGTTCTATTCAATTTCATACAATAAAATACTTCATTAATTCCAAAGGGAAATTAAATGTTGGAGCAACTCATATGTTTTTAAACAGTTGTTGATGCTGTAGGAAGGAAGGATCTTTTTTAACGGTCTGGAGAAGCCTCTGACTGAAGACACTCTGTTGTTGTTTAATAGTCTAATGAAAATGATGTTCACTGTGGTCCATAATCTTCTTCACTTTATGAAGAACTCTTCTTTGTAGAATAATCTCCAGAAATTCTGGAGGAGTTCCTAGAACATCATCAGCTTGTTGAGATTTTGTAAGTAATTTCCTCTGATGCTGTTACCACAGCAGATGATGTCAGAATGGATCACACAACTGGTAGACGACCTGTAGCATTGGGAAGCAAACTCTGTAGGACCTAAGCTTCTGCTCTGTCTCTTCTTGTAGACGGCTTCACAGTTGCGTCTACAGTGTAGTTTGTTTTCCAGGTGAACATTAAGTTATTTCCTAAAGGTATTTCTACTGCTTCACCTCCACTTTGTCTCCCATGATGTTAAAAGGATTCATCTTGTTCCTGTTTGTTCTGAAATCTTCAATCATATCCTTGTTTTGTTGACATTCAGGATCAGATGATTCCAAAAAAGTAAAAAAAAAAACGAATCCACTGGACTTTGAAGTGTAAATTCAAAAAATAAGTGTGAATTAAAAAAAAGAAGTCTTTCCAAGTTTGAAGACGTTTTTCTTCCCATCCAGGAAGCTTTTTTAATTCAAAATGTCATAATTAGTGTTGAGCATGAGGTGTTATACAGTAGCCCAACAAAGCCTTGTTTTTGTTTAGAAAACATGCAAACAAATTCCAGTGAAATGTTTCTTTACCTTTTTTTGGAATGTCTATGACCTGTATGACTGAGAACCTTCATCAGCATGCTCAGATGATTGTTTTAACACCATGCCACAAAGCGCTTCACCAGCTCTCTGTGCTCAGCTTCTGCTCCATCTTTGATGCTCCATCAATGACTGCAGAGTCATCCCAGGATTTCTGCAGATGACAGGACTCTGGAGACAGTAAAAAGAAACGGAGAGAGTACCATCCCCTGTGGTGCTCCTGAGCTGCTGACTACTTGATGAGACAGCTGAGCCTTCAGGCTAACAAACTGTGGTCTGTTTGTCAGGTTTGATCCAGGTGATTGTTGATCCCTCCACCCGAGTCTTCTGGAGTTTCTCTCAAAGTAATTCAGGCTGAATAGAGTTAAATGTTCTGTATAAATCAAGATCACGATCCTCGCAGTGCTGTCTGCCTTGTCTAAATAACAGTGGGTTTGTTGAAGCAGGTGGATGATGACATCATCAACTCCAACTCCATGGTGATACTGCAGAGGTCCTGATAGGTATGTGTCTGCTCGCTCAGGTGAACCAGCAGAAGTCTCTGGACCTTTATGATGTGGGATGTAAGGGTTACAGGTCTACAGTCAATCCCAATAGTTTCATGTTAGCAGGGTAGGACATAAAACAACTGTGTTAAAGTAACTAAATATGATTAAGTAAAGGCCAAAAGTGGTTGCACTATTTTCTTCAGTGTACTTCATTTCTCTTTACCTCGAGTTGCTTCTGTATAATCCTCAACAATTCCTTGTCTTCTTTCTTGAAGTCTGTTTTTATTCTTTAGTTCCTTCAGATCACCTGTGATTCATGGTTTATTATTTGGGAAGCATTTCACTACTCTTGTTAGGATGGTATTATCTACACAGGTGTTTATGGAGTCACACTCAGTTATTACATTGATCTACATTCAGAGAGATATTTATGATGAGACTATATCTGAAATAGTTATTCTGAACTCCAATTTTAACAACCCTTTGCACATTTAACCTTTTAACTAATGTCGCTGAAAATTTTTATATCTAAAATGGCCCAGATAGTGTAATTACAGTAAAATGAAACTATGTTACTTTTGCAAGGCACTGTAAATAAAACATTTGTTGCTGAAGATTGTTTGTTGGTTTGTCTCTCACCAATTAAAATCTGAATTCACACAATTTATTGTTTAACAATTCCAGGACATTAAAAAATCAGCTGGTACGTTTTCCCAGTGCCACACGTGTAGTTTTGGAATTCATAATTTATGGAGACATTTTTTAATCATGTTTACTATACAAATACTTCATCATAATCTTATATTGATAAAGTTTTATAAAGTTAAGCATAACGTTGGAGTGTTTAGCATAATTCTAAATGGGGGCAAGTTCCTGGAGGCCCCATAAAACTCTGTTTACATGCATAGTTAATACAACTATTCCATATTTGTGCACATTAATTATGTTTTTGATTAAAAAAAATCCTTTAGCTAAAATGCCAAGTGCCAAATCTAGTGACTTTTTTCCGCTACTGGAGACTTTGTAGACAACATCTAAAAGCAGCGAACTCTGCTCTCCAGAGCAAGTAGAAATGGAGAACAGAGAAGCAGATCATGGCTTGTCTACAGTGAAAAGAATGACTGGGTTATTTACTTTGGCCTTTTTGGAAACACAGGAAGGAGTAATCAGCTAAGTGAGCTTAGTGCTTGGAAAAAAATCTTTCATTCCTTTAGAGACAGCATGAAAAGTCAGCTGAGTACAAAACATAGAGAGGAAAACAAGAAGAAAAGGGACAAGAATAGAGGGACAAAACTTAGAACAGATAATGGATGTCTATTCTATTAACATTTCTCTATCTGTAGAATGGGTCTGTTTGATGTCTTGTCTTCTCAGTTCAGAAGGCCCCCTGTCTGTCTTTGCCTAGGGCCCCAAATTTGCTAAATCCGTTTACACCCATCCTCAGTCATAGAACAATCACTCTTTCTATACAACAAAGTACATTGTTTGTTGACACGGTAACAATAATCTACAATCTTGCATTTATTTAAATATTTTTTTTCTTATATTTTTTGTTAATTAGTATTGGCTTGCAATATACATAGCTCATTTAATAATTGGGGGGGGGGAATCCCAGTTTAAAAAAAAATTTGTTTCAGTCATCAGTTTCTAGTAAAAAAAAAAAAAAAAAAAAAAAAACATTAGTTTTTG